CCGCAGCCAAAACGCAAAAATCGAGGGATTATGAATAAATGGCTCACATTTTGCAATAGGAACTATATTACTGGCTCACTCACAAAAGCATACACCTAACTGTTTAGAAAAAGTAATGGCACATACGTCGCGTTGACTGTTAAATGAGCAATAAACAGTAGTTTTCAATTGCAAAATGTGGTTCAAATATGCTGTAAATCTAAAGTTTGAAGAGAAATGAGGAGGGGCGGAATTTTTATTGATTCAGGTTCGGAGGAGTTTCATCAGATGGTTGACAAACAATGGCAGGGTACAAACATTGGTTAAAAATACGCACACTGCGCGATAACTCTCAATTGTGTCACGAGTGACAGAATAATGGCACGCAATTCATGATGAAAGTAAACTTCAGTACTTAATTGAGGAATGCAATTACGTGACCGTATTTTACAGACTCTCAAAACCGGCAGCATGAAAAAAATCTACCGACAATGAGTTGGTTGATCTCATCCCTACCATTCTCATATGGACGTATCTATGCTGAAAGGAACTATGTCGCACGCAATCTCTATTCACATAGTTCCTTTTACCATGAATATGCCCGTGTAGCCTTTGTAATAAGCAGAGGCGTGGCGTGTTTTGCGATATATCTATTGATCGACCATTTAAACCCATGAAAAGTATCGATTGACAGGGTGTTCGCAGCGAACACCTTAATAATCGACTTTTTACCATAGGTTTAAATAGCATAATAATCGGTATATTGCAATTCACGCAAGGCCACTGGTAATAAGCGCAATATTAAAAAAGCACCGGAAGAGTTCTCGAGTCTCAAATCGATTCGGATTTATAGCCGGCCTCGGTAAAACAGTCATTTGGACCAAACAAATTGATTTTAACGCTGAGCTGGGGTCATTAAAATAGGTCGTTCAATTAGATCCTCTCGACGTTAACTCAGCAATCAAAGCAACTGCAGCGAAAACAAAACGCGATTGAAAATAAGCCTTAATTATGGCAACGTTACGGTGTAGGTTTAATCTCGGCGCGCCGATCGGTATAATTTCATTGCGCCGCTTCACCCCTCCCCCCTCCCATCCAATTTATAATGTATAGATCATTATTTCAGAGCCTCCATGATGAGCGAATATATTTTCTCAAGGATATTTTCTCCGGGTTTGCTCAGAAAACGCTCCAATTTGACCGCCGAAGTCCGCTGTTTGTCCTCTTGTAGACGGGCGCTAAGTACCGTCCTTAGATTTGCGCGAGCGCGTCAAGAGAACAGCGCAGATTAGTGGAAAGCCCTCATCGTCACCTGCTCATGGCCGCGGGGCTTCGAGAACAAGGCTTTGGGCTTTGTAAGGGGGGCGGGTCCCTGTCTCACGCATTCGCGATCAAAGCATAAACATGCGACTGCGTGTCCTTACACACAGTGGCGTCAAAAGGAGGGGGGTGGAACCTCCCTCCTACTCCCCCCTTCTTCCCGAGAGGCGAAAAACGGGGGACGAAGGACGAGGAGCAATTGAAAACCCCGAAGGAGAGGGAGGAAAAATATGCACACACTTTGCATGTGCGGTAAAATTTAGTGACAGGACTGCTAACATCGTTAGCATGTTTAGAGTCGTCCTCCCCCTTTTTTTCTTGCCTTGCTCCCATTAATATAGGCATCTTCCAACCGGAGCCCTCACTTTGATATTAGGTCTTGTAAAGCTCAGCTCTAAATCCGTACTAATTGGTTGAATTACAAATCACGCCATTGAGAGAGCAAAGATGCAACGTAGACGACCGCCTGAGAGATGGGCACAGAGCTGCTTATCATCCCCACAGGAGCATTAACTCCTCGGAATACACGCTAGGCAAACATGGCGATGGCCTTTGTCGAAGAGTTAGAATGAGGAGGAGAAGAGCACCAATTAAATGGTTCACATTTGAATGGAAAGGCCTGAAACATTATATAGGTGCATTTAAGAAATGGACTTTTGATAGTAAAACTGTTATGAATTGGGAAAAATGAGAGGGACGGATATTCAAGTACCTGCGACAAATCGTCGTTCTTCTAGCGTCAGGGCGAAACTCGATTCCCGCATGAGCTCCAGAAAGCATGGATTTATATATGAATCAAGGCTCACGTGGAAATCGAGATACGTCCTCACGTCACACAGTGGATCGAGTCAATAGGTGAGGTCGGACAAAGTTTGGAAACTTTAAAAGTTTATAACTCCGTTTATACAAAATTTTAGGGTTCGAAGAGTGTCCATTGGTTTCCTCGTAAAATTTTCCTCAAGAAGCACCCCTTAAAATTTAAAATTTGACGAAATAAACAGAAAAATTTGCAGATTTAGTCAAAAACTGTATGTCCGACCTCTCTGATTGACTCGATCCGCTGTGATTGTTATACTATTTACACCTATGGTAAAGAATCGATTATTAAGGTGTTCGCTGCCAACACTCTGTTTATCGATCCTTTTCCATAGGTTTAAATGGTATAAAAATCGATGTATCGCAAAACACGCCACGCCTCTGATGACCTCATCAAACACGGTTGCTCATACCCACTCCTCCCACTCTGAGAGCGTGTAATCAAAAGGGGGTATCGCTTCTGTAGCCCTCCCCCTTTTTAAATGAAGAGCTAAAGGGTTACTAACTAAGTTCTAGATTCTAAGCTTCCTGATACAACAGCTGAAGGAACAAGCAGAAAAACCATATTTATACTGATGCGTGGAACATGATGAGAATCGCTGGAAGTCCTCGTCAATACAAACAACCAATAGTCATACTTATGTTGCAGGGAAATAGTGAAATCAGGCATTTTGTCAAATGCCTAGGCAGATAGTTAAATTTTGACGGTCTATAAAATTTCGTGAATTTATGGCGAGGGGCTCACGAGTTTTCAATAGTTTTGGAAAAATAACTCATCAAACCTACGAACTCTTCTTGTCTCCTCCTCTTTAATTGCCTCTCATATTTTTAAATGATGAAATACTAAAAATTCTGTATTTTATAACATGCTGAAAATTTCCAGATAAGTGTCTAAGCAGGAGCTAAAAATGGTTTAAAATACTATTGTGCGATGCAAATTATTACTGAGAATTTTTCTTACAGGAGAAATTACTTATTCTGTCTGAAATTAGGGAAAGAAGCAGAATTTCAATCTAAGATAGAATATTTGACTATTTGCCTAGGCATTTGACAAAATGCCTAATTTTACAATTTGCCGGCGACATTTGCATCAGGACAATGGGTTTTAGGTTGTAGTGAGGAACAATTACATTAGTATCTGAAGTGTTTTTATAATTTCCCCTTTACAAACCAATGTAATAGAAACAAAAATTCGGAACTTTACAAACCTGGTCCATCGGTTGTTGCTATTATGTTTTCATTTTCCGGGAAATCTTACTAGCGCTGTGCAAGTATCGATGATAGCATAGCTGGAATCAGACAACGTTGGAAAGTGTTTGAGTATCCACTCACAACCGAGATTCATTTGATTTACAGGACCAACATGCCAATTATTTTCACTTTCATTCAATCGGAGTCAGGCATAACCAAAGAGATAGGCTGTATCCCACTTTGCGGCCAACAATCAGACACAATTCATGCATGCTATAGCGTATGATCGAAGATGATTAGAAAGCGGACGCCGATACAACAAACCGAGAGATAGTAGTAAGTTCATGATAGGACTATCTAGAGTGGAAAGAAAGTGCATGGGTTAAAAAATGAGATTTTATCTTTTTACTGTAAGTATATTTGTGCGGTATTAGAAATTCTTTTTTTCAATTTTTTTATTTCGTTTTTATTGAAACAAAGCTTCCATGCTTTTATTAATTTCATGTCAATATTTTTGGCCACATATCACTCACTGCATTAAGATTTTAGTTTCCTGACATCACGCGCGTTTAAGTCTCCAAACAATCATATAGGTCAAACACTATAAGTAAGTTTTACAATCATTGCGACGTTCATTCTTAGTATTTTCCTCTAAGTTATGAATGATAATTATCGGTCATATAATGTGACATCAAGATTTTAGTTTCCTGACATCACGCGCGTTTAAGTCTCCGAAGAATAATATAGATCAATCACTATACGCAAGTTTTAACAATGATTTCGGAGTTATGTTCAATGAGTTTCTCTGAGCTATGAATGATACTATTGCATTTCGGTTATGAAATTCTTGTATTCACAGTCTTTGCCACGATATCTACACACAAGTTTGATGCTTACTCCATGCTAATCATTTCTCAAATGTGAAATTTTGCGTTTAAAAAATTGAAAAAGTGAAATCGAGGAATTAGGATTGTGAAATAACGGATGCTTCGATGTATAGAGAAAAAGAGGTGAATACGGATTTTTCTTTTCCACTTAAAAACCCTACTAACATAAACAAAAAGTTTTACTCATCAATGAGCTAATCATTAAAATTAAAGAAAAAAAAGAAAAAAAGGAGATGAATCGTTCAATTCACCCTCTAACGTCAAAAAAGATTAGTCACTTCGAATTATTTCGAAAGTATGCTTTTATGGCACAAAGACAATTATACGTTAACAGAGCATTTTGGATATAAAAAAAATTCCTGTTGAACTTCAAGTACCAGCTGGGTCATGGGGTGTCCAGAAATGCACATCACGAGGTAGAAGAAAAAGCAATGGAAATATATGTATTAATTTTTACCAAAAGGATACCGTCGGAACAGACGCTGCTTCCATGCACCACTAAAAATTGCATTAAAATTTACACTCCAGACCGAAATCGGCTTGATTCCTTTCCCACCGTTCCGGAACTTTGCTCCATTCATTGGCATTATTTAGATATTCTATACCCGAATCATTGCCGAGTTCAATTTTTTACGAGTAGCCATGAGACCACAATCACTTCGAATGACCTTTTCGTGTTCGATAGACATCTTTCTCATCGTGGATCTTTTTCCCCCCAAACGCGATGCAATTAGCACAAAAATCTTTCACACCATCGAATCTGTATAAAAGCAGCCAGTACATCATCCAAATCATCAGTTCTGCAATCACCCTCCAAATCTGTGTATCTTACCCGGTGTTGTTTGAGTTCCATCATGAATTTGCTTTCCGTGGTTGTTCTGGTCTGCTGCCTGTTCGCCGCAGTGCTGTCGGCGCCGGCTGAATTTTACACCTCCCAATTTGACAACATCGACATCGAGAGCATCTTAAACAACGAAAAACTCCTGGATAACTACTTCAAGTGCCTCATGGACGAAGGACCCTGCACCCTGGAGGGACGGACACTAAAAAGTAAGTTCATGCTTGCGTTCTTAATTCCCTCTATGAGGGAACGTCTCTCAGGAAGTGAAATTTTTCAGCAACTTTTTGAAATCTTTGCTTCTTGGTGTTTTCCCCATTAACTAGGTTAGGTTAGGATGTATGCAAAGTTTAAAGCCACTATATTAACCCGAGGGTCACCTTGATTCGTCACCCTGTAAAACTTACAGTATTACCTATGAGCTAATTAAACACATTTGGAGTCTTCATATTAATAATTGGATTACATTTTGCAATAAGGAACCACTATTTCTGCCCCATTTCAGAAACAACATACATGCCATTGGTTTCCCTATGCAGATATGTGCTTTTATTGGAGAGCCAAAGATAGTGGTTCCTTTTTGCAAAATGTAATCCAATTGAGCTTCATATCTTTGGGCTATCTAATAATTTCAGGTAAATGATAGGAATTTCCACTAGCAGCCTGTGACAACACAAAGTAACTTTAATGAAATGTGTGAAAACCTTGCTACACTGAAGTTCAATTATAAAAACATGAAATAAAATTTAAGTATGAAATTTTCATGGTACATTCATTTTTTGTAACATGTGGAGATCGAGACAATGCAAATGACGATTATATTGCAATAAATAAATAAAAAATCTTGTCCTTTATTTAATGTCTTTAAATACTCACATCACTCCAAACATTGAAAATATTGCTTTCTTTAACTCTCCCGGATCCTTTTTCATGATGCTTACTCGAACGCTAATGTTTTTTTAATGAACTCGTAAAGGGATTCCTGATTAGTGATTTTTCTAGTTTAATTTTATTTGATTCGATTATTAAGCGCTCCATGTATCCTTATGCTGTTACACCTGTGAGTCAGTTCTTGCTACAAACTGAATATCATTGCAAAATATTTGTTGCCCACAGATGAATTATTGAAGACTCTGGATTAAATTTTTTCTCGTTCCAGGTTTGGTACCAGATGCGTTGAACACCTCTTGCGCCAAATGCACGGACAAGCAGAAACAGATTGCCCGAAGAGTAATAACATTCTACTTGGACAAGTACCCTGCCAATTCCGCCAGAATCATCAAGAAGTACGATCCAGAGAACAAGTTCAAGGATGGAATCGAAAAGGCACTCCTAGGATCCCGCTGATCAAGTGCTGAGAAAAGAGGATTTCAATTCCCATTTTAGCAGCAAAAAAAGTTACCATATCCCTTCTCACTAATTTATGACTATTATTTATGACCATTAAAGACTTTAACTTTAAAACTTACGTATTATTTTATCGACAATAGCAAGTACAGTAAAAGCTCGCTAAGTCGAACTACGGTTAAGACGAAATACCGATTAAGTCGAAGTTTTTTTCGGTCCCTAGAAACGTCCATAAGTTTGGTGGAGTATTGGTTAAGACGAATTGTCGCTTCAGTCGAATTTTTCGTCTGTCCCTACACAATTCGACTTAGCGAGCTTTCACTGTATATTAGCCTCCTTGCAAATTTGACACTCTAAGAGTGCAAATTATGAAAAAAGGCTCATTGAACACATTTTTCACAGAAAAACAAGCAGACAAGCCACTAGTAAGCTGTCCTGGAGTGTGATAAAACGAATTGCAGCAGATTTTGAATCGTCTGAAACGTTAGCGTAAGCGTTAGCGTTAACGTTAGCGTTAGCTAACTTTTTAACTTCATTTACCAAGTTCCAGTTGCATTCTGACCAGAATGCCTTCAATAACCGAGATAAGCAATATAAGTGGCTTAGGAGTGGTAATAGTTGCTTGCATTAGCGTGCGATCACACTCAGTCATTTTAAGCATAATTATGAGTTTGAGGCATTACCATGCTCCACTCTCATTCTACTCAGTTTGCCTTCAATAGCCAAGATAGGCAATGTGAGCGGCTTCGGAGAAGTAATGGGCGCTTCCTGCGGTGTATCCACGTTTATTCGCGTTTGATTTAATATTAGCGGATTTCCAACCTTCCTTTCATGAGTTTCGCGCACTCTGACCGGATGCCATCAGTTTTTCATGCCTGTACTTTACTAGGCTTGGAGTAGAATTATTTCTTGCAGAAACTAAGCAAAAATTGATTATATTTTCTTTTATACTGCCAGTTTTAATTATTGCCACTGGTTGCCTTATTTTATTACTATTTGCTTACCGCATGCAAAAAATCATCAAAAGTTAAGGCGCAAAAAGATGTCACACGATATATCGATGAATGACGGAGACATCTTTTTTGGTAGGGAAGAATGATTGTATTATGTTGACAATGAAATCAATCATTTCCTCTATTTGGTATATTCTTTTTTTTGCAGAAATTTTTCCATCTGTCTCAGAGATAGACGCTAATGTCTTTCTCTAGAATAAAATCAAATTATGTACTATTTTCTTAAAACTATTTTGAAACAATCTTCCCGTATCGCATGTTTTTAGCCATTTTTTTAGCCAGTAAAATTATTTTATTCGTCAATTTTATAAAGATCACACGTCTAAATTCTGCTTTGGATTTGGCATCATTCAAAAGATTAGCAATTTTTACGGCATGAGTAATTCCTTCTTGCTAATGTCCCCAATTTGTCACGTTCCGACCAAAGTGTCACAAGCGCCATGCGACGTTTAAACATTTCCACCATCATTTTATTTTTTTCAGAGAAATTTTCGAACAGCTTCGCCGAACAAATTCTCTGTTAGAAAAAAAATGGCAGCGGACAATTTTCAGCGTCGCATGGCGCCTGTGATATTTTGGCCGGGAGGTGACTAGAGGTCAGCTACTTACATTTCACTCTTGACCTCTTCAAGTCGATGACCAATTGAAATCGCCTAAGGGCACAAACTAAACGTACAAAAATAATGAAATACCAAAGGATTGACTCGGTACACCGAAAACATGACGTCACAAGTTCAAACGGCTCGGGGACACCGAGAATACTGAGCAATCAACTTTGTTTGTTTTCCGACCATTGTTGCTGCCTACCTCCCCGTCAATTTTTTAACATAGCTGGGCTCATACAGGGGTCACAGAATAGCAAACTCATCGCCTGCCTAAGAGTTGAGCGTCAAAACTTTTTTCTCTCTTTCCCCCGACAGCCCAAACGTGATATCGGGACGCATCATTGAATAATGAATACCTGAGCTTCTGTTCCTTCGAGACTGACTCCCCCCTCCCTCTCATCCCAATTCCCCACAGCCGCAGCCTATCTTTACCGCTCAGCCCTTCGAATTAAAGATCGGAGTTCCAGTGCCCCCGCCCCGATTCTTAACTTATCGATTAACGCTCGTTTTTCATCCCCAATCGGCCGTTTTTTCCATCCCTTGGAATCGTATCATGACGCGGCGAGACTTTTGAGTTAAGATCCGATTTAAAATGCATTTTTCAGCGGTCGCAGGGGCAGGAACAGTCGTAAGGTTAACGGCGGTCGGAAAAGTAAATTTAACGGTCCATTAATCAAAGGTGAACGAGATTCTAATTTAAGGAAAAAGTAGGTTTTTCCCCCTCCTCGCATCCGAGGTTAAGTGAAAAAGTAAACAAACTGATTTATTAAAAGTGGAATAAGGCGGATAGAAGGGGAGCGATTCTTTCGGATTAGTTTCGGAGTAAATGCGCAACGGTTGGGGATGAACGGCGCAAAGTTTTCTCGGCTACATTTAACGATGTTGATAGAGTTTCCCTCCAATTACTAAGGTTGAATCAACGTAGAGGATCATAAAGGATCACGGGACGAGTGTAATTTCCTCGTTAGTCGCCGCAATAATTTTTTATCCCATAAAAATGAAGCAAGGCAGGACGAATTTTGGAATAGATTTTTAAAGAGGAATTTCCGAGCATAGTCTACATGTCGCGGGCAAATGAGGACTTATCTGTAACAATAGCGGATGTGAAAAATTACCTTTCCGAAACACATTAAAAAAACTGTTTTGGCATTGAGAAAATTTTGAGAATATACTTGAAATGTGATCTTCGAGATCTGTACATTATGCCAAAGCCAAACATTTTAAATTTTTGTGTGAACAAAACAGTTTTTTAAGCGTGTTTCTATAAGGTAATTTTTCACATCCGCCATTGTTACATATAAGGCCTCAAATAGTGAAATCAGGCATTTTGTCAAATGCCGTCAAGTGAACGTGCCGGAGGGAGAGGGATGCCTAAGACGCGTTTACTCGTGTTGTAATAATTTTTTGCGGAAGCCCTGTCAACACTACTAGCAAAAATTCACGGAACTTGGCGTGAAAGTTAAGTTCCGTGAACCTGTCTCTGTGTGGACAATGCCTTCCATTAATAAGAAATGAACGAAAAAATTATGAAAGAACAATCATAAATGTGGTTCAATAATTTTAACTTCCTCCGCCGCGCCGTGCTGATCGCACTTTGTTTGGTGCAATGCGTGAGGTATTCCTACACTCTTGTAGGCGCTATGCCTTTCCTGCAGACCGGTGCTGAACGCACTGTGTTTGACGCAATGCGAGAAGTATTCATGCCGTCTTGTAGGCGCTGATATGTGTTATATGCCGACCGCCGCGCCGAGGGCCTCTCCTTTTCATCTCAAGTCCTCGTCATCATTGCTCTCTGCGCCGCGCCGCTCCAGGCCAAATTGCGTGTTTGGTTTCTCTCTCAACTAGACTAATGAAAGGGTAGCCAACTTTCTGACACAAAAATGTCACTGACACAATTCAGATTCCAATGTCAGACTAAAACGGCCAAGAATGTTCATAAATGAGTGTTCTGGCCAAATTGCGTGTTTGGTTCTCTCTAAACTCGACTAAGTAAAGGTGATGTCTTTTGTAGCACCGCAAAACGACAAAATTAGAAATTACGATACTCACAGGAGATGCAAGATTTTGTCGCCTTTTCCCGTTTGCAATTTTATTTTTATAACTCATTTAAAAAAAATTGCAAAATTTGCCGCCCCCTGAATTTGCAACCATGGGCCGCGGCCCATGTGGCCACCCCCTTAATCCGGCCCTGCTAACTTACGGGAACCAATCAGAAATGGATTCACATTGTCTTGACTCTCAGTGTAAAGGGACTCTGGGTTGAACGGGAAAAAACCCCCGATTTCGAGTCCGATCTGGCAGCCGGACGGAAGGATCTCGAGACTGCGGGTGGAAAACCAATTTCTGGCGGGCGACGTTCACCGGGCCTAAGTCTCCATTATCAGGGAAATAAAACTTAATTTTTCCGCCGGCATTTCCAATAAGCGGCCGCGACGCGGTGGCGGTGGCGTTGGCGGAAGCCAAATAAGAGGCGAAAGGCTGATCCGCGGGTTATCCATTTAGACAAAATAAATAGAGCTTTGTCGGGGGCCCGCTTATCAAAACGCGGAACGGCGGCGACCGGGTCTGAATGTCTCTAATCAGCATTCTGGAGCTGCTCCTCCGGCCGGTGGCGGCGGGGGTGGTC